ACAAGTAATATTGCTTTGCCTTACTGTGAGATAAAACCTCAAGATAATGGGAACAAGCATGCATGAATGGATTGTATTTGTGGTTGTTTCATGTCCTGACTTTTTCACCAGAAGATGGCAGCAGGCTGATGTTAGTCACAAATATTTCTACTGCTTACTGTTGGATAAATGTGGAGATACTGTGCTAAATACTTTGAACTGAACGGTTTACCATAGCTCACAGTGAGAGAGCGGGCATTGCAAAGCATTGCACGTCAAGCAGTTTTGTGGGTTTGTTGGTCTGGCTGCTGCTGGCCTGCAAGTTCTCTGCAAGTCCTGGCTGTTGTTCAGTGATGTGCTTCCACTTGACAGTCTTTCAAGAGCATTTATTTTGGAAGAAAAATCAAAGCAGGTAGACCTATCGCTTAAATAAGTTTGCATTTGTTGTATATTGCCTTTCAATTCAGAAAAATGTTTCATTCTGTTCCTAGAATTAATTTTCCTGGCAATAAACTTCAGTTGAATGTGAATGCATGTTTTCTGTGACAGAGACAGCAAAATCAGAGAAAGGACTGGAACTGATACTGCACAATGCAGAAAGGATTTTTGTTTTCCATGAAAAGCCTATGTAAATATTGACCAAAAATGTGGAGTTCAGCAGCTCTTGCAGATGTTTTGTGGTATCTTTAATGGAAAGTAAGCTATGTTAGCCAGAGAAACAAAGATGTTTTTTACCCTGTAGCCATAAATTAATCACCATAGTAAATATTTAGCATGTTAACAAGCACAAAATGTCAGAGTTAGATACATACATGAATTTTCTATTTTTAGTGCCTTCAGATACTGCAGAATAACTTCACTATTGGCAAAAACCTCCTTCTGAAGAATGTAAGGAGAGGAAAATGCCGATGTTTTTCTTAGATGAGAAGTAAAACTCCAAATCCAGCCACTGTTATCCATTGCATGATGACTTGATAAAACTTAATGCCAAATCTTCAGATTTCCCTTGGTACCTGAGGCTGAGTTCCTTTAAGGTGTTCAATATGGGCAGACACATAAGAAGGTTACCTGGCCTAAGGTCACTTGGGCTTGCCCAGATCCAGTTGTCAACTAATGGAGACAAACTACAGACTGTCTTCAAGATGCCACAGTCTAAATATTGCATGCTGTTGCCACTTGTTCCCATGTGCATATTCCTAATCCACATGCATAACAGTGATGTGTCTGCAACTGTTTTTAATGACCTGTTTAGAGCAAAACATGCTAACAGTTGCAAAACAAACAAGCAAAAGTAAAAGATCGAAATTCTTTGAAGCTGTGCCTCTCAAGTAAGTCTTTAACTATGGAAAATTTGGTGTTTGATTATGTAAGTTAAACTGTACCATACTTCACGTGGACAACAGAGCTGGGCTGATCTGCTACAGGCAACAGTAATTCCAGTGTTTCCTTGCTTTTGAATGCTTCATTTTGCACCTTGGGTTCCATTAACTGTTACAAGATCTAAGTATTATGTGTAGTGCTGAAGAGGAGTATTACATCGGAAAGCTTCAAATTCCGTAATTTGAGAGCAGCCTTTCCAGGCATATTTATGAAAAAGTAATCACAATGTTATTATCAAAGTAATTCTTTCAATATGCAAGATGGCAGAAGTTCATTTATTTATGACATTCAGTTAGCTTAAGATCTGCACTTGCATTCCAAATAAACGCCACTGATGGGGCTTTCAAGTCTGTTTGATGACTACCTTTACATAAGCCGAAAACCAGGAATGAAGGATGTGAAATTTCAAACATTCATGTATTTTTTTATTATAAGTATTACTACGCACACTACTTAGCATTAAAAGTCTACACACGGACATACTTCCAGTCTGTTATATTTGGTTTTTAAAGAGACTGAGTACCTCTGGCTAGTGAGCTATCATGAGTTCATGTAACTGCAAGTTAATGCAGCAGTGTAGGGAGGCTTTGACGTGCCAAAGACACAGTGTATATTTTGCCAGGTTATTCTACAACTGGTGCAAGTTGGGTAGTTACGTAATTAAATTGATCACTAAAAGCAAAATCCAGATTTCCAAAGTGGCCATTCTTCCTAGCACTTTGACACAACTTTTCCCTTCTCCCACGCTTCTTCCTTCCCACTTAAGACCTGGGTACCCTTTTACCTCTGGAGGCTTTCCATAATTCCCTAGGGCCAATCCACCAATACCCCTTTACACTGTCTGTCCTCTTGTCTAAGGCCAGGCAAGTGCCTTTATTGTCTTCCCGCATGGTTTCTCCCCAGCCTCCCTCTAAGCACATTTACTCCTTCTAGTTTCGGTGGTGTTCTTTGCTGCTTCCAGCCCCCAGCATCTTTCTCACATCTCTTTATACATCTGAGAGCATCTGCTCTCAGCTTGCAGGTTTTTTCTCTCCACATGTGTGACTCCTTTAGAGACTTTTCTGGTGGGAAACCTGCATGAACTGTGTTTTCAATGAGAGTGAACAAGGTGCACCCTCTGAGATTCTAGCTGACTGTCAAAATGGCTGGAGGAGGTCCTTACAAACTATTTTCATGCTCACAGCCTCCTTCAAAACAGAAGAATCCTGGAGCAAAGTCCCTTCATGTTTCCTAGGATTTCCAGAAACTGCTTTGAAAATACCGGTGTGCATTGTCAATTACAGTGTTTGGCAACACTCTGTATAAAGCATTGTGTCAACAGAAAGGTATTATTCTACACTCTGGAGTCAACCTAGGCATTTGATCAGGAATGCATATAAACTGCACTAAGACATCAGTGATTGTATAAGACTTCCTGAATTTAAATTTCCAGAATAATTTGCATTCTTGTGCATAGAAATGACCATATAGGAAGCAGTTGTATAGACTACGGAAAAGGAAAATGGAGCAATTAAAATTTCTGTCAGTAGAGTATGCCAACAATTTGGAAAGTTTGACAGATGCACGTAGAAATAAGAAAGAATACAAAACTCTATGACCATTTTAACATCTCATGCATTTCAGAAAGCTAGTCAAATTGGCTGTTGAGAAAATGAAAGCGGGGCGAGCATCGTTTCACCTGGGTAGAGACAATCCAACCGACTCAGCAGTTTTAAGTAAAAAACGTTGGTATTTTTTGGCAAATGCAGCCTTCATGGGAGAATTGAATGGGTTGGCTGCCAGGACAGAACCACACTGCTCAACGACATATGATCTAGACCTTATTTACCATGCAGGATGGGCGTAACAGGTGGATACTCATTTCTGAGATTTCTCTTGCCTGACACAGGCATGCTTTGTACTGCATCCAAGGACCCCACCCCTCCCGTCTGGTGCAGGGTGAGAGCACGGACCTGAGGGCAGGGCATATTCACTCTCATCTCCTGATGAATTTGAGCCCTCGATGGTGGCCTTGTACACAACACGGGATGTCCATGGATCTGACATTTTGCTACTTCTTTTTACCATATGTTACCTTCTGTATTGGATCATCTGTCATACTGCCAGCAGCCATGGATAATCACAAGTCACCAATAGCTGTGGCTGTCGCATAGGTTTTCAACTGTCTGTGCAGTGAGTCATTCACTGACTGTTCTGGACGAAAGTGAATGCAGTGCTTGGTGATGCTCTGGCTACTCTGACTTGGTCACTTGGTGCTAGGTGCTCTGCCTTGAATGCTTTGGCTTCTGTTCTAGCTATGTTGTGCTTATGTGTACATAGTTTCCTAAAGAAAAAGCTTCACGAGTTAATACCTTATGAGAAGTACCCAAGTTGCAGGTTTCAGGAAAGAATACTCAGAAGATATTATGGCAATTTTAATTAAAAGAATACATTTTTTTCCCTCTAAAACCTAACAGTGCTTGCTGATTTAGTTAACCTGTTTGTAGTAAAAACTGGTATTTAAAAACCTACCTAAAGCTTATGAGAGTTGAATTCTATTTTTTATTCTTACAAATTCCTAGTTTACAAACTCTGAAGGCCTCATTTGTTTCTGCCCAAAGGGCTCTAATATTCAGATCGTTACAGATGGCTGTTGGTAAGTATCTGAAATTCACTCTGTGCAAATTTACCCTCATTAGAAGTTGTGTAATCTGGAAGTATCTTAGGTTTCTCTAAAGTTTTTGGGAAAGCAAGATGAGCAGAAGACCGTAATAAACTCTAGCACCCAGGTTTGCAAAATTTAGGCATCTCACCATACCCAGAAAGAGTTGGTCAAAGGTAGAACCAGAAGCTTTTAACTAAGTAAAAAATTCTCTTGGCTACAAGAGAAAATATTTCAGGCAAATTTTATGTGTGGAGTGTCACTGATCCTTCCATAATTCTTACTACTCATTGTTTAAACGTTCAGACAACTGGTTCATGACTAAATAGTTTGAAATACTTCAGCCTGGTACAGGTTGGCAGAAAGATTAGTATAGCTAGTACTGAAATAAGGCCAAGGGAGCATACTTTGGGTCCCTTGTGAATGAATAGTTGTAAACTGTTTGCTAGTGCATTGGCATGTCTCCAAGAAATACAGTGTCTTTTAAAAAGCTTCTGAATGTTGAAGGCAAATAATCTGTGGTAACAGATTTGAAAGGGGAGATAGGTATCTACATCCCTTAAGTACCTGGGCCTAGAAGGACATGTGATTACCTAGTGTGACCGCTTTCATAATGTCTTGACTTTTGTGCGGTACCTGCATTAAAAGTAATGGTTTGTAATTGAATAAGAATTCATAGTCTTAATGCTTGCTCCTGTGGGGTCTTCAAAGTGTTACTTGCATTACCCACCCTTCTCCTGCTGATCTGCAGGACCCCTCACCTTCCACAGTGCCAACAGTGCTACTGGGCAGGTGCGGCAGCTGCACAAAGCCTCTGCTCTGCACCACTTGGGAAAGCTGGTGTCACGAGCGAGCCCCTCCAAATCCTGTGTGTGCAGCTGAGCTGTAATGGGATACTAACTGATGGTATTAGTGAAGCGTCATTAATTTACTCCTGATCAACAATTACCTTATTTGCAAAATGCTGGTGCTGGCCAGCATCTGCACCATGTGCAGGGCCATGGTCGACCAGGTAGTATAGCTATTTCCCCAACAATGGTCTGAGTGCTGTTTTACCATAAAAAGCTAACATAAGGGCCTCATCAACACACTGTAAAGCCAAACAGAAGACTAGCTTGCTGTGTCATAGACTTTAAAAGAGTAGAGGCGATGAAAGTGCACTTAGAGGTGACGTGAAGCCAGCAGATTTGAAGTAGAAAGAATAGGCAGATCATTTTCTCTTGGAGAATGAGGAATAATTCTTCAGAATACTGGAAGACCACAAGAGTGGCCAGAAAGTGTCAGTGCAGCCTGTTTTTGAAAGTTTTTTGTCACAAAATCCATTCCAGCAAGGTCACGTGGACCATCAAGAAAGCTGGAATTTTATAAGGTTGGTAAGAGAGTGGGGTATCTCTTTCTTTTTTTTTCTTTTTTCTTTTGAGATTTCCACCCTGAAGTATTTTCTTCTAATATTCTTACTGACGGGTAGTCGGCCTTACTCCCTGTAAGGACTCCATTTGGGTCCAAACTCACAATTTCTCTAAGACAAAAATCAACCTACTAGGACTCCTTCTGATTTATGATTTCACAGAAGGATTTGTAATCCAAGTGAGAAACTGATTTGTCAAAAAGATAATGAATTTTGTTTGAGCCCTCTGGGCCCTTCTTCCCTTGTGCTAGTCTGGAAAATGATTCAGTATATGAAGGTGTACACTTGAATGTAGACCGAAGGTTATCTGTATAAATTTAGGTAATCTCAACTTTTTGTTTAATGGGGACTTTGTTAAGAATAGAAGCCCTTTCAATTCAGTAATTCATATCTGGACTGGACATAGGACTGGAAAACATACATCCAGTAGGGAACACTGGCTTTGGCAGGAATGAGGCTTCCTCCTCTCACTGTAACTCCTGGTTCCTGAAGTCCTTAATCAGCAACCTTTGCATTTACCCTAGCAGGTTTGACTTAAAACAGAAAGGAACATAAACTGTTAGGTCTCTGGGAAAAATTTGAGGGTGGGAACCCAAACCTCTTTTTGACAGGATGAGCCTTGCCCATGCTGCTCTGACCTGGTCCCAGTGTGGAGAGAAGCAGGTCACTAATGATGGATGATCCATGGTGGCATTTTAGTTTCAGTCAGGAAGGAGCTTCCTCAGAAAATCAATTTGTTCTCACTATCTTTGTTTTGGTGCGCATTATGGAGAGGTCTTTCAGTACTTAGGCTGAATTGCTTTCAGAGAGAGAGATGGGCAGAGCAGTGCTGCCCAACTGTGAATGAACAGAGACTCCTGAACTGTTGCCCTTTTGCTCACTTGTCTACACAAGTGAGCTTAATATGTGGGCAAAGTAGGATAATAAATTTATGAGAAATGGAGCAAAAGGGGCATTAAATAGAGTTTCTAGTCCAGCACAATATGGTGCACTTGGCTGTATCTCAGGTTAACTTGCTTTTCCTAGGCTGGTTTTTTTTTGGTTTCACAGACTTTTTGACTGCAGGCTATAGTAGTAGAAAGAATCAACACTTTCTTTGTGCAGGTTATGCTTTTGCATTTTAAATAATCAAGGTTGTAGCAGCCATTGCAATGCTTGTTTATCCACTACTTTCTAGTTGCAATTTGCAGCTGACTTACACAATGAGGTATTATTAATCAGCTACCTGTAACTCATTAACTGCTGTGCTGTTCTTTTCCCTTGCAGATGTCACCGTTGTCCACACCTGCCCACCAGGCCCTATGAGAAGAATGGGAAGCCATGCATGCTGTCAGAGTACATGGAGCGGTACCCCCTTTATCCCAACGCCGTTCCCAGAGGCTCACTTAAGCCAAAGAATGTGTACCAGATGGCGCAGATACCCATGGAAGGCGTCTCGACTACAAAGTAGGAAAAATTGTGCAGGAGAGTGAGGACTGTGAGTTAGATAATCTGTGTGTGTGAGAGACAGGTAATGGAGAAATTAAAAATGATTGGTTTTCACAAGGGCAGCCTGAAAAGAACAACATAGTGGTTGTACAAACACTCATGAGGGCTCTATGAAGGAGGGATGAAGGTCTACCTGGGGCCAGTTGTTGTAGTGGAGGCAAGCAGCTATTTTTCTTGCACTTCCTGGAGGTTGAGATGTGACCTGATCAGAGAATACATGGGCCATAGAAGCATAGTCATGGTCTTGGCTTTTGCTCACTTTCTATTTTGGGAAGGTTTCTGGGAAACCCACGAAAATGTTGTCTGGGAAAGTATGGATGACATTGGAGGAGAACTTTTCTTTTGCTCTGTGTTTTATGTGGCGCTTTGTATGCTGTAACGTGAGTGACTGGTTTCCAAGGAGGTGTGACTATGGTAGAGCTTGGTGATTGGAAAGGCAGTGTGGGTGATTTCCTCAAGGAGTCAATGTAGATTGCTGGGCTGTTTCTTCTCTCAGCTATGTTGTTGCTCAGTGTTGGTGTTTGGCAGAAGTCCTCACACTTGCACTGTGCCCGTTTCCCTGATGGAAGTAACTTCTGAGGCTCTTCCCTGCTGCTGGTAGAGTGATGTGCCGAGTGCTTGGCCAAAGAAGAAACTCATAAAAAACAGGAATCTGATCCTTTAGTATGAATCTGAGAGCTTCCTTTTCCTCAAACAGTGGCTGCTGCCTGATCCTAATGTTTACTTGCTTTGTCATCACAGGTGCAGTCATAAGCAACACCGCTCTTGCCTTTGTTGAACTGAATTAGAGACCTAGGAGATGCCAATGGCTATTAATAAAGTCTTAGCAGCTAACATCACCCATTTGTCCTCATCCTGACATGGAAGCTCTACCAACTCCTTCCCCTACCTATGCCTTTTTAAGACTTGTCAATTTAAGTCACAAAAGTGACTCATGAAGTCTAAAATGTCTGACTTACATTTGGGATGCCTCTATCTATGTGGGAGTTTTCAGAAACAACCAGAAGGATCAGAGGCTTTCAAAGAGCAGACTTCATTTTTATATATGCCTTCCGTCTCCAGCATGAGCCAAAGCAGCTAGAAATCTTTGCGTCTGCCTATAACTACATCATGGGCTCATTGGTGTCCTCTTAAGGCAGGTGAGGAGGGGCAGCCACCACGTGAGGTCTGTCAAGGAGCCTTTAGAAACTTTGCAAGTTGCCTCTGATTTATCAGCAAGTCAATCTCTCCTCTGTAATCTCCACTGCAGGTTCTGTTGTATCGCAGTAGTCAGAGTGGGAAAAGGTATTCCCACTGCCAGAAAACCCTTGATCACACTGGTGAAGATTTGTCTGCCTGTGATCTGTTACTTGCCTCTGGTACAGGCTCGGCTGTTTCAACCGTGGTATTGTGCAGTGTACTGTGATTGGTTTGGGAAAGACCCTCTCAGATACTGAGCCCTCCCTGCTACTGGGGATACTGCATGTCTGTTCTATTTCTGCTTGTCTTTTCTTGTCCCTTCTTAAAAAACACATTGGCTTTAAATTGCTGACAAAAGTATGCCAAGGGGCTACAACATCTGTGACGTCTACATAAGTACCTCTTGATGCTCTTGGGTTTTACTTCTGCATTCTGTTTTTACCTCTATACCTACCAGTTTGCAATGTGAATTCTCTTCCCTTCTGCTTCACATACACTTTTGAGACTCTTGTTTATTTGCTAAAATATGTAACTAATACAGTATATTCAGAGGCTCAGGCTCTTGCCTACCCAGCATCACTCCAGATGCAAAGCGCAATATTAGTAGTAGAATAGCTCCTCTACTGACCGTTTCTCCTGGTCGACTGCCAGTGGCGTAAACAGATCTGCACAGTGGTGGAAAAGCACTCTGACATTAGGGACTGAATTCGCTGGTGCCAGGCAGCAGACTGTCTGCCCTGCACCAGCGGATGTGGGCAGTGAAATAGGTTCAGATTAGTGAATGTCAGATGATGATGTTACTTTCTTCTCCATCTTGTTTCTGTAATGTTTTGTTGGAGTTAAATAAGACTACTCTGGTATCTTAAAATATTTCTTTTACAGTACCTGCGAAAAAAATGACTGTCTGACTGTGCTGGTGTTTCTTACCTCAACTGGTGTTTTGCTGTAAAACTGTTTTGTTATTATCTCCCCATCCTGGGCTGAACTGCTCTACAGTGTATTGTCTAGGAAGGCTATTGTTGCCTCTCTTGTATGTTTCCCATACGTATTAGATAGCTTGCTATAATTACTGGGCTTTTAAAAGGATTTTTGTCTTCTGGTATAACTCCACTGTAGAACAGAGATAACTGTCAGTTCCTTTTTCAGAGTCCAGGTTTCCAAATGTGAAAGACTTGTGTGTGTCATTAACTGCGTGTATCCTATCCAGACTTTCTTAGGCTGTGGAGATAAAAGGAAGTATTGCTTTCTTTGTGTGTCCAGAAAAAGGAAGATAGTTTTTTCCTTAAGATAAAAGACATAATGAAATTATTCTTCACAGGAGAGATTACATAGCCCATGAAGTGTTGCCACAGAAACGTAAACTACCTGAAAAGCATGTCAAGAGTGACAAGACTATGGATTTGACCTCCACTTATATGCAAGATTATAACTCCTACCCTATCTCTCAAGTACCTCCATGCCTTCCCTGCATGTCGATACACATCCCCAGCGCCAAGATGAGTAAAAGAACAACTTACAAAGGTATGTGCCCTTCCAGCTTTTTTCAGGACTTCATCAATAGCCTCATTTTGGAAGAAAACAGATCAAAACAGTGTGCAGTTGTTGTTCCTTCCATCTATGTAAGCCAACAAGCTGTGCAGGAACCACAAAACCACAAGTTGTCTGGAATACAGCCCCACATGAATGGTAGCATTGGGATCTCTCTGAATTCATCTCCTTTGCATGTCTGACAGGCCTACAAGGCATCCTAGGTAGAAGCAGGGCCATGTGAACTCCTGCAAGTGGGTCTGGCAGCATCTTATTTTGGATATACTGAACGTACTCTTAGTATACTGCAGGGCTTGTGCACACATTCAGTGGATCAGACACATCTAAAATACATAGAATTTGCAAGGTCTGAGCAGGTCATGGGACCCTTTTTGTAAGTACTGCGGAGTTAATCTGTGGATGTACAAGAGAAGTATATGGGAATTATGGACACACAGAAGTTCCACACAAATATCCAAAACACTCAAGCTCTACTCCTCGTAAAACAGTGAACTGTGCATCTAACTATGCCCTTGTTTCTCAGTAGCTGTAACTTGGTGTAGGTGGTTTGTCTTTGTGGGACCTTTGTTCCTTCCTCTTCACAAGCATGAACTCTCTTCTGCATGCACTGGGAGAAAACTTTCAATTACACAGTTACAGCAACGTGCTAGTTTTGGTAGTAAGTCATAAGTAGAAAACCAGAGGATTTTGCCTCCCCTCTGCACACCTTCCAGCTGGCTAACATTGTTAGGCAGATAGCTAGCATTTGTGTATTTTTTAAAATATTTTTTAATTATTTTATTTTTATTATGCTATGCAAACATAAAAGTTTATGATTGGTGCTGGCATTGCAATTTGTCGCAATGTACAGAAACAATTTTTTTCTTAGAACTCAAAATGATAAAGAATGTAAGGAAATAAAAGGTATTTGAATGCAGTGTTCATATTACCCAGCTGAAATGACATAAAGTCAGACTTTAGTGCAGCTACATGTTTGCAATGGCATAAACTGGAATTTTTACATTAAGCACACAGGAAATACTGTGCATTTATAATGACTTGAGTCGTGAAGGCTATGACCCACGGGTGCAAAATACCCACGTTGACACAATTTTGAACACTCTGTTTTGCATAGGCAATGTCACCAGATGGTATTCATTGGAATAGCTTCAGTGAAGCCTATAAAAAAAGGCTGCTTTGCACCAGTGGAGGATCTTTCCTTCTGTGTTTAGATGTTCTTAACTTCTCTGTATCTGAACCAGATGTATATCTTTGTCTTTTATCAGTGTTTGGGTGAGCACCTTAAATGTTACTGCAGAGCTCTAACAAAATGTATCACAGTCACATTTGGTTATAATTTGCAGTATTTTTCAGAACACTGCAAATGGAAATCTTCATCCAAACCTCCTCAAAGATCAAGTTGCATAGTGAATAAATTCCCTTTTAAAGGCCCAGGTTCACAAAAAATACAAATTTTCATTGTGCTATTCTCTAAGCATTGATAGGTTTACTGATCACTACTCAAGTGTGAAATTTTGAAACATGCTATTCAATTAGTTATGCTAATTCAAATATTTAAGCAGCACATAAAACACTGCTGCATTGGTATTATGTTACCATTCCTACTGTATTGTCATACTCCTTCCCACTAAACACACCATATCCCAAATGACACTGTAGGTTTAAGATGATGCTATTGCATATCACAATTAATGTCAGACTACTTTGCAACTTAAAGTTTCAAAATTTCCACCTCCTCCAAGATATACACATGGCTGTTTCTATCCATCTGCAGGTATGTAATCTAACTGTAGTTTTGTCTTGCTTGGTTATAGTGAAATGTGCCTAACCCTCCAATAACATATGGTTCGTTACCTCCGTTCCCTCCTATACCCCCTAATGTATTCAAGATTGTGCTACATGGGAAACTATTAGTATCTATGGGAGAAGAATTAGAGTTACAATAAAATGGTAACATATTTTGAAGGAATAGTAGCACTGCTGGCTTACACTAAGTAAAATAAATTCATAATGCCTATGAGGTCTCCAAGCGTTTAGAGCTTGTGAATTTTTAAAATTGAAGACAAATGGACTTGCTTGTCATATTTTGAATATTTTGCAAAAGCTGTGGTTAAGTCCAAAATGCACAGACTACTTTCCAGCAAGGGTGACGGGAGAACCTAAAAAGAGTTTTAGTAACTCTTGGTTGGCATCTGAAATGTCAGATCTCTGAACAAGCCCTTGGTTAGATACAAGCTGAATCTTGTTAGCTTCTCACTTTTTAACACTGTATTGATACAACCCCTGTAATGACTCATGTCTGTATATGCTCAAGATTCACCCTGCTGGACCATCTCTCCAGGAAAATGATGTACCCTAGACACGGGCACAACACCAGCATCCCACCAGTGCAGTGGTCCCTGGACACTTCTTATTCCCCAAGAGAAACAGGAGCACCTGGGGCATTTAATCACCCCTGGCACTAGCAGGGCATACGGCCTGGGCTTCAGTGGCACCAACAGTGGCAAATGAATGGTCTATGCCAGTGGTCACAGGCAGGCCCACGTTCTCAGCTGACTACACAAATTAGCAGCATGAGGGCAGCTCTGTACCCAAGGGCCAGGGTGCTCGCTGGGAGCAGCATGGTGCCTGTGGCTGCTGCCTTCTCTCCTGTTCCAGGGCAGGGCAACTTGATTTGAACCAGAAGGACTTTAAATGGACACTTAATTAGGGCAAAAAGTTACTTTTTTTTGGGTCAACTTCACATTGTAATAACGTGTAATTGTGTTTGTGCAGTACAGTAACTACTGCTATTCAAAAGGAATGACTCTGTTTGGATTGGAAAGTTCAAATATCCTGATGCGTAATTGCATCATTTACTTTCTACTACTTTGAAATCCAGACTTCCTTCCTCTACAGAGTCAGCTGGAAGCTTATTTGCCTCATGACTCTTAATGTGGTTTGAAAGCAGGGAAAATAATAAAAAAAAAAAGACTTGTGTTAGCTCCAAGAGTATTTTATTTCCACTTCCTGCCAGTGACCATAACGCTCTCTAGGGGAAGTTGCACAGGATTACTAGGAAGGGGAAAAACGACAGTCTTGTGGCTGCAGCACTGGTTGGAAAGTTAGGCAGCTTTGCAATAGATTTCTAATGTGATTGAGTGCAAATCTTTTTCACTGCGTCATTTTTTTCCCTGGAAGGAAGATATGAATGTCTCTAAAATGCCACCTAAAATGTTTCCTTAGTCATGAATTTGGATAAGAAGATTTCTGGAGTAAGGACCATCTCTGTGATATGATTCAATGCTTCAGATCAATGTAGGTTTGGTCTGCAAATTCCAGTCCAATTTCTCTAACAAGGAGGAACTGGAGACAGAGTTACAAGCCCCTTCATGGTTCCTGCTTGTACTAACAGCAGGAGTACCACAGAGAGCAAAGCAAAGAGCTGAAAAGATGCCACACAGCACAGCTTACTGACACCAAGGTGAGCTGCAAAACCCCGAACTCAGCAAACAGTAGGCAGAGTCACCTCTGTGCAGTTGAGAAATCAGGTCATCTGCAAATGAGAAGGTACAAAGAAGAAGGGTAGCTCTACAACTTGGCCTTTAGAGTGGAATGGTGGACATCTGGTTCTCCTTGCCCCAGAGATACTGTGAGAGACACCTTAACAGCCTTCTGCAGACATAGGCGTACTCTGCCTGTGCTCTGACCAGCCCCAGCATAGCTGCAGGAAGGTAAACAAAGGGGGTTGAAGTCAGTCCTGTGATACGCTACTTTCATGATTTCTGGTTGACTAGGCATGACGACAGTACCCACTCAGTCACCTGCAGAAAATGTCTCTGCAAGACGGAGAATGTAATTTAGTTTTCCCACATTGTATTTCAGCATCTCTGTAGGTATAGGTGGGTACAGGACTATTGTCGTTCCATTTTCTGTGTAGATGCTAAGCATTTCCAGGGGTTAGCACACTAGTGTATAATGTGTTCTACAGCAGGTATTTTAATAGGATTTATCAATCATTAAACTCACGGAAGAACTTCAGTTGAGTACCTAGATAGGATTCCTTTTATGTTTCAGATGACTACGTGCTATGGAATGAACCAAAGACACAGCTGATCAGACCAAATGACAGGTTTCACCCATCAGAAGAAAAATTTGACTACAGAACTGTTGCCCAGGATGACTATCTCTACAAAGGGCCAGTTGCGACTCAAAGCTTCAAACCTCTGAATCTGGGTCAGAAAACCAAGACTCCTTTTGAGAATACAACCAGTTATAGAGTGAATTACGTGCCACATCCTCTGGAGAAACGTTATGTCCATAAAAATGAGGAATACAAGGGCAATGAGGTCCCATTTGATGACCTCACTACCCACAAAGTTTCTTACAAGGGGCTGGCTGGTCAGCCCGCCAAGCTTGCAAAACCATGCCAGCCGAGGACTCCCTACAATCATCCGTTTTTCTCTATAACTGAGTTTCAGGAAAAATACCAAGCTTGGCCACAACCACCTTTATTCATCAAAAAACCTGATGTGTATCTTCCTCCTCTGGAGAAAATGGACCTTCACACCACTACTCAGACAGATTACAAGCACCGAAATGGTACACCAGCCAAGATGTGTCGACCTTTGTCCCAGCTTAGAAAAAGTATTGAGCCATTCAATAGCTCTTCCGTAATGAAAGAAGACTATAAACCTTGGCTGTGCAAGAGACTGAAACCTATCATTCATGCTCCGGAGCTGAGTTTCCCAGCAAAACCAATGGATTGCTTGACTACTTTTCAGACCCATTATGTACCTCATCCACTCACAGTTACAAAGAGCTGTAAACCTGGGTGGTCAGGCCCAAAGCATCACACTCCGCTAGATGCTAAAACGACGTACGCTACTAGCTACATACCAAAGGGAATTGTTAGATGCCTGGCATCTTACAAAAACCCACCTGGTTACATCTTTGTAGGAACTGATGCTGATGGTCACAGCTTCTATCGCCCAGCTTCCAAGAGTGAGTGCCTGCAAGGCAGATACTGAAGAAAGAAGAGAGTGGATACAGCCTTATTGGAAATGGATTAAAAGAGCAAGGTCTCAGTGAGCTGCAAATGACAGGTTGATATTGTTTGTAACCTCCTTTCAAAGCAGTTACTGATTTCATATATGGGGAGATTTTAAACTTAATTGCCAGGCATTGGCTTTTTCTGGATCATTTGCACAAATGAAAAACAAAATCCAGTGAAAAGACACATTGAACATTGCTTCTTTGTAATTTTTTTTCTTTTTCCCACCTAACTCTTGCTCTTTAATTGAGAGAGATATCCTCCTCCTGAGACACTAAAAGAGAGATCTTGTAGTAACATACGTTATTATTGGTGTAATGAGAGTTCAGCCCTGTCCATGGTGACAGCCTATTCAGATGAATTACGTGCTGTGAAGTCACACTTGTAAGTCATAGCTGGATAACAAAGTCTGAGATCTGGCCTTATCTGTCACTCCCATCAAAAACACGTACAAAAGGTACAATTACAGGTTAAATATCATTGAAGAATGCGCCTTCATCATTTGTGTCATTGTATTGCCCAGAACTAGGCTATCAGATATGAGATTGTCATGCTAAAGATGGCAACCTAAGCTGACAACTTGCAAGGAGAGCTTTTCAGTAAAAGCTCTTCGCTGCAGGATGCAGGGAGGATAACAGAAATATCAAAGGGTTGAAATTGTCATGTGTTGCTACAGTTCAGCCAGCAACTGGAGTTGTATTATCTTTTGGATAAGGCCAATATTAAGCTCCTGACCAGAACTATTCATTTCTGTGTCCAAGGTGCTTTTCTGTAGGCTTACGAGTGTTTCATTAGCACAATGAAACTTACTGGTTTCTTAAGCACATTCTACTTTCCTAAATCCTCCTCTCTCTTACTCCTAGCGCTCTGACTGTTTCCCGAGTATTTAGCTCAAGCACTAGGCAGAGCTGTTGCATGCTGGAGGAGAGGCTTGTGTCTCACCATCAAAGTGGCTGCATTTAAACAGGAAGAAGACGACAATTTTCTGTATAAACGTATTTTAAAACTTTTTAGAAGTTTTGAAACTCATTGGGATACAAGACTTCTGTAAGTGCTTGCAAGCTAAAGCCAAACACATTCCATCTAAAGACATGAATGCTTAACCCTGAGGGTGGGAAGCCACTGGAACAATCTCGCTGGAGGCACAGTGATTCTGTGTCACTTGAAGTCCTTATATGAGTCCTCAAGGCCTTTTCTAAACATATGCTCATATCTTCAGTGAAAAATTACGTGCTTGCAGCAGGAACAACTAGTCAAATCTGTCCAGATTACAGTATACAAAAGGGCCAAACTATGTAGTTATTGATGGCTCTACATAGCCTTCAGAAATTCAGGAATCTGTAAAGTATTCACTCACCTGTAGTATGGTATTGACCTAGACCTGTAGTGAGATATTTACCTAGAGGATGTTTGGCTTTTTTTTTCAGCTCCTGCTATCTTAGCAGCCTTCTTGAACCTTCATGTCTTTATTGTTGAATTTTGACAGGAAAATACTTTTTCTTCCCCATCTCTCCATTTATTTTTCTGATTTTATTTGTCAGCCTGTAATTCTGTGAATTCTGAAACAGAGTTTATACAAAAGCAACAGCTGAGGCTTCTGACTGCAGAAGAGATTGTTCTTTTACGCAGGAAAGCTCCTTGACTGTTCTTTCAACTCTTTGATGTGAGACTGGCAGCAAATGTGGAGCCAGGAGAGGCTAGTGTGTAAATCTATCTTTATTATACGCTTATATTTGTTTGTTTTTTTTTTTTTTCCTGGGTGGAAGTTAGTCTTATCAAAATGGATAGCAGTGCAATACGCTAGTTAGCATTAGTACTTGCTGGAGTTTGAACACTAATGACAGGAGTCTTGATTTTGCAAACAGTAGACCAGCTCCCAGCAGCATCAAGCAGATATGACTGGTTTAATTCCCGCACTTTCACAGCATGAGACACAGATTTTGGTTTTTTTCCTGACTTGTACCTAAATGTATAAAAACTTATTAAACCCAATATATGACAACAGTAATGAACAATGTGAGTTCACTTGAGTGAATAAAGGTGTGACTCCACAGAAATTACAGCTGATTAAAGCTTGGGCTGCTGTGGTCTCACCTTTGTCTCCACCTGCAGCTGCATGTTTCCCCATTGTCTCTTTTTCTGGTAATGACATTAGCATGGTCTGCATGATGGGCTAGATCAGGAGACTGATCTGGCTGAAAGCAAATGAGTGTTTTAGTATGGTTAAGATCCATTTACTTCATTTCCCTGAACCAGTGCACCACACAGTTGCACAATTACCAACTTAGGTGGAGGAGGTCAGTGCAGAAAGAAACACATGGCTCAGGTAGCCCAGACTTAGCTTGGCTGGAACTGCTGTGGGAGTGCATCCTCCCTTCTAGAACAAGTTGTTCAGTGCCTCCTAATTTGGTGTTGCCCTGAAGCAGAGCCTTTGTGTGCTGACTGACTTCCCTGGGAGGAAGGGTTTGTTTAATCCTGTCCCTGTCAGCCTCCGGGTCACAAGGTGAGCCCATCCGCTGCATGGAGAGGGCTGCGCTTCTCCTCCTCCTGGCCTCCTGTGCAGGCAAGAGTCCTCCCTTTGCTCTGTAATGCAGTTAAAGTAGAGCAACATCTTCCTAGACTACAGTTTAATTTTGATTAAAATAGGCGATGTTATTAGAAAATCAGCATAAGAGAAAATTATAATTTGGGGGAGAATTGGGGTGTTTAACACAGAAAATAAAAAGGGGCTGCATTGCAGCACACAGTATTTGGTTACTGTTTTCACGCAGAATTAATTTGTGGATAAAGATGAGCAGAAGAAGTTAGTTTTGCCTTCTGTTTGTGCCAATTAAATTTAACTTTTTGTTAGAGTGGTCACAATCTCAGAAAGAAGGAAGTAGAAGTTAGAAGCCCTGGAAAAGAGCCTAAAAGGTCACTGAACTGCACCACAGGGTTGTGTAATTGTTTTTGAAGTTACATACAAGAGTAGGAAAATGAAACTATACTTGTGTGCCTGGCAGAACTAGATGCTAGATGTTACTGCTAGATGAACTAGCATTTGTTCAGAAACCTCTCAGATACTCTATAGTTATCTTGCCTGTTTTGTGGGATAATAATGAATGAAAAAAAGACTACCTGCCTTTGGCCTGTCTTCCAGTGTTGGGAACATCCTTGAGGAGCTCATGAACTTGCACTCATGATGCAGCAGAAGACAATACTTCTCACTCAGTGAACAGATGGGTGGAAAGAGGGGAGTCAGCTGTAGTCAGCCTCATGCTTCATTCATTGGTACTTTTGAAGAATGGATAGTGGCATGAATACCTAAACACTGGCCTAAGTACAAAGGCTACTATTGAAAAGTGTTTCAAAAGCCAAAATGCAAGGGTGAAAGCAAGAGGCTTTGTCTTTGGCAGGGTTGAGAAGGACATCCACGGGAGTTGTACCATGAAGCATGCAAAAAAGAACAAGGAGGATTGTGCTAAGCAATAATAGATGAAAACTGTCACTGCCAGAGCAGGTTATTACACTGGTATCAATTACTGTAATCATTGCCAATAGACATCAGCTGTAAGTCTATACAGGGACAACAAGTCCCTGTAAGTACACTGCAGAACCTATTTGGAGGGACAACTTCTTCCTGTGTCCCTGAAAACACAGAACAGGAGAACTCACCAGCGCTACTGATCTCCAGGGCAAGGCACAATCTGTTAGGCAAGTCCTAAGCACAAAAGCCGAATTAAGCAGACACGTCCAAACTAAATTTTAGAAGGGTAGCAGCTTCCTGGGAGGTCCTGAATGTCTGCTCAGCCAGGAGGCAGGCAGGACTGGATTTCCTGCCTATGAAAAGGCTGAGCAAAAACATTAACTCCCTTGTCCTCAGCGGGAAACAAAATAAAACAACGCCAAAAGAAACCAAGTTATCTGGAATATTGGGGGAGATAACCAATCAGTTCAGTTTTGACTTGCATGATATCAGCCTTTCAACCACCTCTGCCTGCAAGGACTGCAAACCCCAGTGCCTCACATCTGCAGGAGACAATTATTCCATCTGGAGAAGATTTGCAGTTGGCAATAGGCGAGAGGTCAAAAAAACCCAATAAGTTGTACACTTATGGTCAAGAAATATGAACAGGCAGCAAATCTGTGAAAAGTTTATCACTACAAACTCTAAAAAGGACTTCATCCAATGCTATAGATCGCTAAAGAAAGCAAATTGTCAGCATTTCAAGTGTTTCAGAGCTTTGAAGAAAGTGTTGAAAGGTAAGCGGTGTGATTCAGCAAGGACTGAGGACATTCATATCACAGAGGGAAGCAATACCGATCCTGGGAATCGTACTCCATAGACAGGAGGCAGCTGGACTTAGTGTACAAAAAAGCAAGCTCATTCATTGGGAGACAAAAAAAGGACTTTCCTACAGCATGGGTAGGATCTCTCCAAGGGAGCTATGTCATCTCAGTTGGAAAGAAGCATTTGGTCAGAGAACTGCAGTCTGGGTTAACTAGGATGGGAAGCTTCCATGATGAATTTTCTGAGCAGAGGTTTTTTTTTTTGCTGATCCTAGTACAAATCCCTCTTCTCCTTATTGTACTAGTGTCTCTCTCTGCCTCTTTCCCACATTGGAATCAGTAGTTTGATGATTTGTGCCTCTTTTCTTGCTTTTGTGAGGAAATACTGCTTTGGGGCAACCTGATTTTCACTTTTGCATCTGGCTGCATGTCTGTCCCACAGATATTTTAGGCTGCATTCAGCAAGGAGGGAATACGGTAACTCTTAAAGAGGCAATGGTGTGTTTGGCTCTATATTCCCTGTTTCCACCAGCTCACTAGTGCTGTGCTTGCTGGTGCGAAGTGTCCCCAGACAGGTGAATGGGCTCATGCGGCACTGCCAAGTGCCGTCACACAGGCTTGAGCATGCTGCTCTGCCGGGCGAGCAGGCCCCTGCTCTCTTTTGCTTTCTGCTAAAAAAGAAAAGTGCCTGTGGGATCCTCCATGCAC